GCAAAGTGCTCGGCCCTAGCCGTTGAAGGCAAGCAGAGTGCTCGGCCCTAGCCGTTTATAGCTGTGTGACCATCAACAAGTCACTTACTTGCTTCAAATCTTTTCTTTATCTCTAAGCTCGGGGGCTTGATACCGGCCCATGATTCCTTATGCAAACCCCCTGGGTGCTTCAGAAATCAGAACTGTGCAGATGTTAGGCTCATTGGGACCTGTGTTTAACAGCTCCGGTGGCATCTAGGGCAGCACTCTGTAATCAAACACATTAATATTTTTTTGCAGCAAAACATATGAATATTCAAAATAAAGCAGGATAAATATAGCCTCGCATCAGTTTTTGCTGCTAAATGAGTTTGCTGCAAACTTACACAAAAACCTTTTAGCTCTCAGAGCTTCTCCTAATCACAGAGCTAGGACTGTCAGCCTCCCTCCCCCGCCCCCCCCCCATTCCCTCTTCAGAAGGGTTAGGAGAGAAAGTCTGTCGGTGTGCTTGGCTGTGAATAGTGGGCATTATTAACACGGCTTGCTGTGGCTCTCAGCGCTACACAGCTTACCACCTTGCTCCAAACAGAACTAGCTGTGACCTCAGAGGTGCTGGGAAGTCAGGCATGGCAGCTCAGGCTGAAGAGCTCAGCAACCAGAACTGGGGCAGGACCATCTGAGTCCAAGGCCACTCTGGGATACAGTGTAGGAGGGAGGGTGGGGAAGCAGGTACTTAGTTGGTAGAGTACTTTCCTCACATCACAAAGCCCTGCATCTGATCCTCGGCACAACCTAAAACTGGGCGGGGTGGTGCACACCTGTGATTCCCAGCCTTCGGTAGGTAGAAGCAAGATGAGACGGAGGTCATCCTCAGCCAGACACTGAGTTCAAAGCTGCACTAAATCTCACCTCAAAACAAGCCGCTAATGGCCATCGAACCTCTGCATGTTCCCTCACTGAAAACGGGAGTCTCTGCCATGTGAAGAGGGGCCAGGCTGAGCAAACAGAGCACTGACGGTCCAGCTGCATGGCTCAAGCTGGCCCCAGGAAGATTTTGGAAAGGGCTGTACACTGGTGGGTTCAGCCAGCCAGCCAAGACCATTCCTTAGTACCTGAGCCTCCTTCTAGAACTAAATAGGACTTCCCACCATGCGACAGAGCTACTGAGCTGACCTGAGGGTGGTTCAGTATTTGACCCAGCAGAGGCTCCTATACTAGAGAAGAAACAGGCCTCACTCTAACTCTACAGCATCAAGGAGCCAGACGTACAATAAAAGCTGTCTTGGAAGTTGGGCAGACCCAGCCATAAACGAGGACCGTGTCTCCACACGAGCCAACTCTGTTGCTCAGGTAGTATCACTGACAACTGCAGAAGGTTGAGAATGATCACGAACATCTGAGCCAGGGGACTTGGATCCTAGACCACACCCAGGCCAACCCACAGGCAGAACTGCTCCAGGTTTTCAGAGAAAACCTGACAGGGCTCCCTCTCCAGACACTCTCCTTTTATTAGGGCCCTACTGAAAAAGACCCAGGGGTCCAGAAATTAGAGAAGACTCTTGATTGATCGTGTCTTCTCACCAGCTAGCTTCCTTCGGGTTCTGTCAGTTAAATAAGTCCACCTGATTTATCCAGGTGGTGTCTCTGCCTGGTCTTTCCATCCATCCATCCACCCACCCATCCAGCCATCCATCCTTCTGTATATCTTTGATACCCTGCCATTTGGTACAGGGATCATGACACATAATCCCACTAACTTTTATTACCACTCTCTGTCCAGCAAGAGGCAGCCCCATCTCGTCCCAGGTTGGGATCAAGTTATGGGGAGACATATGTATGCAATTCGATAACCAACAATCTGGCCTTGTTTCTCTGCACTCTGCCCATTCTTCCCCAAAGCAAGAATAAATGTCAGGTGCTTCATCTGTACCAACAGTCTAACCTTCTGCCTTAAAATAAAACGAACCTTGCGGCCTGTACCCTATCATAGTCATCCCTGTTAGGATCCCAGCCAATTCCAGCTTCCTGGCATCTGATTTCTCTATCTTGCCTGTTTGCACTGGTAGCTGTGATGATTTTTCTTCCACTGAACATTTCTCAGATTGCTGATAGATGGGAGGGGGTGATATACAGAGAACAGTGGGAAATGGGGAGGTGGTACATTAATCCTAGTGCCTGGAGGGAGGAAAGGAAAGGCCTCCCACAAAGGGAATCTATCCAGGGGTAGCCAGGGCTACACACACACACACACACACACACGCGCACGCGCACAGGCGAGTATCTTCCCCCTCTCTTGATTTCCTCGGACCTCACAGCTTAGCATAGAGGGGTCTGGCACTAGATCTAGCTGCTCAGGATGAAGGGCTCATTTCCACCTTGAGTCAAAAGCACATTTTCCCCTTCAGCAGCCCCCGTGGAGTGGCACCAAGGACTGCAGAATCAAGCCTCATTGTTACAAGCTTCTGGGAATAGGGACATAGCCTACACTACCTCACACAGGCTCCGATGGACAGGAATGCTCAGAACCCCACACGTTAAGAGCTTGGAGCCCATGGTAAGATGGAGAAGCAAGGCTGAAACAACACAGACGACAGGAGGGTGAGTTCTTCACCACCATGTTGACTCCATGGTGGCCACGGACCCAGTGACTTTGAATGTCACTTCAACCAGCATCAACCCTAAAAACCAGCATCAACGCTCAGAAAGCTCAAAGAACAACTGTGGAGGCTAACTCCTGCACATAGCTGGCTTTCCCATCCTGGCCCCCGAGATACAGCTCAAGGCAACCTTCATTTCCTAAGGTCCCATCACATGAGAATCCAGAACTCTCGGGACAGTTACATCTTTTGTGGCCTTCTTGAGTAGAAAGAAAACTATGTAGACAGAACCACTGAAAACTCTTGGTTCTGTAAGAAATGCTCTGAAAAGAGCAGAACCAGAAAAAGGCCAGGCATGTAGTATACAACCATAATCCCAGCACCAGAGAGACAGAAGCAGGTGGGCGTCTCTGAGTTCAAGCCTAGCCTGGTCTACATAGCCAGTTCCAGACTAGCTAGAGCTACATAGTAAAACCTTGTCTCAAGCAAGTTAAATTCTTTAAAAGAAGAGGGAGAGAAAAGCACTTTATTTGTATGTATGTTATTTGTATGTATGTGTGTGCTTGTGGGAGCCACACATCACACTAAAGCATCTTCTTCAATTGTTCTCCAATGTTTTGTTTTGTTTTGTTTTAAGATGAGCTCTCTTGCTGAACCTGGAGCTTCTGGATTTGGCTAGGCTGAAAAGCCAGGGAGTTCCAGAGAGCCATCTGTATCTCTACTTCCCCAGGGCTGGGATTACAGCTGCGTTCTGCTGACCTTGGCTTTTGGCTGGTGTGCATGGCTTTTTACATACAAACCAGGGATCCAAACCCAGGTTCTCCCACTTACATAGCAAGCGCATTACCAACAGAGCTGCCTCTCTAGCCTCACTCACTCACCCCAAAAGTGACCTTAAAAAATGACTTTCCATCGTACCCCACTTTTCACAGCACGGCCACATCCGGAGAAGGTAACAAACCTATCTGGTCAAGGTTTGGGGGGGGGCTCCTCTTAAGGGAGGCATGAGCAAAATCAATTTCATCAGTCTACTTCTGAGCAAACCAAGTACCAAGAAGACAATATTCGCAGTTGTTTTTCTCTGTACGCACTGGGGGAAATGCCTACTTTTTTTTTTTTTTTTTTTTTTAGCTGAGTGCCACTTTCCATAAGGTACAACTCGGTGCAGCTGATCAGGCATCTTCGAAGCAAGCTGCAGCTAGAGGTGATTATATCGGTTTCCTACCCCGCAAAGTCCCCCTACCTAAATGAGCCACAGGAATAGAGGAGGGGGAAGAGTGTGGGCAAAAGTGGAAAATCCCCCCAAGATCAGCAAAACAGCCAACCGAAAGTTGTGCAGAAGGTTAACATCCATAACAAGAAGAAACCCGGATTTATAAGCACAAATCATCAGACCCAGGGATGAGGTGTGAAAACGATGACCTTATGGCAAACAGAAAAGGCAAACCCACTGTTGAAGCCCTCTCTGACCAGCACTGGTCAGTGCTTCCCACCTGTTCTGCAGGAAGGATCCTCTTCTTCACTGGACTGCTGTGAGAAACCACAACGCAAGAGAGGTTAAGCGTTACTTTGAATCTTTCTGCCTTGGCAGGACTCCTCAGCATTTTCCTGTGTATAAGTAAAAGAAACACTACCTAGTTCTTGGGGATATTGTAACAAATGTTCAATTCCAAGGAGAAAACTGGTCCTAAACCAAGCATGTCACAGGAACTCAAAAGGGAGGTTGCAGAGGAAAAACCAGAAGCCAGAGGGCAGCCAAGGCTAGCCCTTGTGATCAGAAATGGGATAAGAAGAGAATATACAGGCTGTAAGACCAGAACTCTTCTGTGTGTCCTTCTCTCTGAATTTAACGAAGGCCTTCTCTGTCTCCCAGCGTGCCGGCCAGAGCAGACTTTTGGGACCAACAGGTATGTACAGGACTTAACATCCAACCCACGCTACTGTCCAGGGCTGCGGACACCAGACTGGCCCTGCACAAACTATGGCCAGTGAGGGATAGGAAAAGCTGAAGCCTGATAACATGGCTCCATCCTGGTCACAGGAGACCCTCAAGCCTGAACCCCACTTCCTGCCCCTTTTCTCGCCACTTTATTATTAAACAGTCACTCCAGGCAAAATAAAAGTGTAGCCCAAACCACAGGAAACCCAGATGGAAGCCCAAAAGCCAAACAGAGAGGAGGGCCTAGAAGCTGCACCCATGAGGCCCCTGATGCTACGGATAGACACCGTTTCTCCTCACCGTGCTCTGAAAACAGCTGTGCCCTCCTGTGCCTCCACATTGGAAAGAATGGTTTGTTTCTGGTTTTTGGTTTTCAAGGTGCATAAAGAAGTCAGGTCAATTCAGATTCAGGATGGGCCCGGCATAAAGGAAAGCCATGAGGACCAGAGGATCATCACGGATGCAGGGTTGGGGCAGGGACTTACCTGTGCTGCTCCACGGCCTCGTTGTCCGGAAGCTCGACCCCACACACGCTGCACTGCTCCCCCAGGGGACGGCTCTCAGCTTTCATGCCCACAGCCAGCTCACCCAGCTTGCTGAACAGCTCTCTCTGGATGAAGCCCTGAGGCAGCAGGCCGCCATAGGTGCTGAAGTCCATGGAGACGGCCAGGGCAGGTTGCACATGGAGACCAGAGGTCACCGAAGACGGCATGCTCAACACTGCATCGGCCTTGTGGTTGGGCAACACTGAGTAGATGCCCAAATGCTTCTCCACGGGGGGTGCCAGGGGCTCCTGTCGTCCAGGAGGTCCCTGGCTAGCTTCAACCGAAGGTGAGAGCTGCTCACTACTCTCCTCTCGCCCATAATGCAGCTCCCTGGCACTGGTGATGACGCTGCCTCTAGTGGGAGTCCCAGGCCCCTCTTTGCTCCTTTCCTCAAGCTTGTCCCCTATCCCTCCTGAGAGGCTGGACTCGGCTGTCCCAGGGCTGTCCTGGCCAGGGGCTTCATCCACCTGCATCATCTCTGCCTTCACCTCAGCCACCCCAGCGTGGCGCCCACCCCCTCCCAGTGTGGGCTCCTCGGGTCCTGCAGGTGGCTGAAGAGTTCCTTGCAGGATAGACTGTCCTATGGTCATCAAACTGTCCACTGCTGCCTTGGTAGGACTCATGGCTGAAAGACCAAAAGAGGTGGAGACTGAAGGGCTCTGGTCCACCATGGGCCCAGGGAGGCTCTGTCCAGCCACACTGGCATACCCGCTCTCCTCGCTGGAATGCTTCGAGATGAAGATGTTCTTGAGGTATCGAGCCTTGCGGTCCTCTTCTTCTTCACCCCCGCCCTCTGCCATGGTGGCCTCTGTGTCATTGTCATCCGATGCCTGGATGGTCTCCAGGATCTTCAGGCACTGCTCCTCTAGGTACTCAATCTCCAGGATCTCGGCTGCGTACAGCAGGTCGTCCAGGTCCTCCGCCTTGGCCTGCAGCGTGGCCGTGTAGGCATACTCCAGGATCTGCTGGAAGGTCTTTGGCGAGAGGAAGTCCAGAGTATAGTGCTGGCTGTTTCGGTGGAACAGAATCTCAAACATCTTGCTGGTGCAGGCTAGCACCGTCCGGTGAGCATGGAACTCCTGGCTGTCCACCATGATGACCACATCGCACAAAGTCCCGGCCAGACGCATCTGATTGGCCTTGCACAGCAGCCCTGTAGGGTGGCTAGGGTTCTGCAGCTGGATCATACCCATCTTTGTCAGATCCATGATGCTCCCCTCGGTTCAGGCATGGGGCTTTCTTTCCTTCTCTGCTTGGGGCCAAGGTGGGGCAGGGGAGGCTTCTACAACAGCAGAGGGAACTGGAGAAGGGAAGAGAAGAGGAAAGGGATGAGTAAGTGACAACATCCCCAGTGTCCCTAAGAATAAGAATTCGGACACTACAGCATGCTTTCACTCTAGCAAGAGGCTCCTGGGGGTTTTAACGGAAGGGGCCTGGGCTTCCTAGAAATCTATGATCAGTCATTCCAAACAAGCCCAGGGTGCAGATAGCAAAAAGAAAGTTATGCTTCCCCTTAAGTTTATGCCACTGCTCGGTAGCATCCGCTGGATGAAGTGAAATGAAGATTACAGTGAATCCCAGGCATTCTTTAAGCCTTTCAGTAGAGCCTTCCTAGTAAAATCAGAGTCCACCACAAGACACACAAACTTACTTAAAAGTAACGAGTTTTTAACCCCTTCCTTTAGTCAGTGTAAGCATTCAGCTTTACTGTCAAAACCCTATAGGCAAACCCTCATCTTCAAAGTTTTTCTAGTTCTGCCTCACTGAGCTGGCCTTAGGAGACAACTCAGATCTAGCCAGGGCTGCTAAATGTGATGATGGCCTCCTATCTGCAAGCAATGAGGCCGTCCTCTCCTAAGTCATGCTTTCTCTCCAATGTCCAGTGCCTTCTTTGGCCTCTGGCCTTGCACTCTTGTGTTCAGGGCTGCAAAGGATTGGCAGACCGGTTCTTAGACTGTGACAAACATCACGTGCTTGCGTGTACACAGACACACAGCTCACATTCTAGCTAGAGTCATTTCTACCTACAAGTTCCTCAAAGTTACTGTCCAAGGAGGGGGAGAGGATGTGTAGGGGTGTGGCGGTGAGAGTGTGTGCTTGCACTAGCCAGAGTGTTAACATGCAATCATACCAGATGTCACAGCCTCTCTTTTTTTCCTTCCTGCCACAAGCACCTATGAGACAGAACGCTCTAAAATGAGAAAGCAAAGAGACACTATAGGAGGGTATGTTCCCAACAGCCTTGAGTGTTGGGAATGCCGCACTGGATGTCCCCCATGTGCTGGTGAGCCCAGTGACAAGGAGAAAAGCGGACACACCAGCATCTCCTGTGTGAGTTAAGTCCAGGAGGGGAAAACAAGGCTGGAACACAAAGGCCTCTCCTAGAGCGTGGTCTGGATGAAGGCGAGGCTCCTGATTCTGAACAGCCTTTGGGACATGGACAGAAAGACCTAACGGGCACAGGTCCCAGCCTGTCTAGCTGGTGGCCAAAATCTCACACAGCCAATGAATGGCCTGGGGAGAGAGTGGAGAGAATCAGGCTTCTCACCCACTCTTCACAGAGCTAGCCTTCACCCTCAACAGGAGTCTTAAGGACTCTTAGGCACAAAACCCGTGTAGAAAGAGTTAACAGTACTGGCTGGCCACTCTTACTGTCCACCCCAAGTGGAAACGGGGTGGGGGTGGAGGCATCAGCAAGGGTGAGACGTCCATTCATCAGAGGCTTCACGATGGTGTGCTTTCGGCAGAGATCAGAGTTCCAGAGAACTAAGGGGTAGAAGCCAAAATAAAGAAGGTTCGCTGTCCAGAGGAGCCTTTTGGGCCTCCAGGGTGCCCTCTCCCTAACCCGCGATCCGACCAGTGCAGTGATTAGCCCGGCCGCTCTGGGCAAAGACAGCGCTAACCCGCCAGAGGATCGATCGCATAACACACCCCTCGTTGCCAGAGACCCCACGCCGGGACTCGCAGAGGACTTCGGCAAACTTGGCAGAGCAACTTTTCCCCGCAAGTCAGGTGTCTGGAAGAAAGGGAACCAAGCTAAGAAAAGAGGGAAAGCGAAAGAGACCGGGGAAAGGCGAAGGTCCGAGCGGGGCGGACGCCGCTGCTAGGCCGGCCGTTCGGCGCCAGCCGCCGGAGGAGAAGGAGAAGCACAAAAGCCGGGCAGCGAGCGGCGGGAGGCCAAGTGAGAAGAGATCTCCCGGCCCTCCGTCTCCCACCCAGGATCGAGAACCCCCGGGAAGCCGCCAGCAGGGTCCCCGACCTCCCGCACCAGCAGCCGGCGTGCCCGGAGTGAGACACGCTGGGAGCGTGGCGGGGAGGAGGCGAGCCGGCCGCCGCGGAGCGCGTCCGTGCATTCCGGTGGGTCCGCAGGCTGGCAGGATCGTGCGCATTTCGAGCGCGTGCGGGAGCGTGCGAGGGGCTGGGCAAGCTCGCAGCCGGCGCGCCAGGGTGGAAAAAAAAAAAAAAAAGACATCCCGAACGCATCAGGTGCAGAGCCCGGGAACCCACCGGGCGGGGCCGGGAGCGCACAGCGAGCTCCGGCACCTCGGCTGCTCCCACCGAGAGCCGAGGAGGACCCGGAGCGGTGGAGTCTCTCCGAAGCTTCTCCCCTCTCCTTAAAAAAAGGAGGGCATCAAGTCCAACCAAGAGGGAGAAAAAAAAAGATCCCACCACGTTTTCTCTTAAAGAAAACAAAACCCGAGCGGGTACCCAGTCCCCTCTCATCCGCTCTCCACCCCCAGGTCCACTCCTGGACTCCTCCGGTTCTAGCTCCCCAGCGGGGCCAGCGAATAAATACAAATAAATAAGGCACAATCCTATCTCACGCCAAGCGCACAGGTCCGCATACATATGAGCACCCACGGGCTCTCCGCTCCTCCGCCGGTCCCTGGCTGTACAAAGCCACCCAGTCCCCGGCCACGCGCGCCCGCAGCCCCGGCAGACCGCCCGGCCTGCCACCTCTCACCCGGACCGTGCGTGCCCCGAGGAGGAAGGCTGGTGAGGCAGCTGCGCCCAAGCTGACAGCCTCGGCTCCGCTTTCCAGCTGACCCCCAACCGGTACGGGCGGCGGCAGCAACGGGAGAGCCCCGCACGAGCCCAGCGGCCGAGCGGCCAGAGCTAGCGCCACCCGCCTAAAACCTCTCCCGCCCCGGGGCGCCCCGGCGGGAGGCGATCGCTGGGCGGTGCGTGTCCTTCCCGGGTTCCCTCCACACACACACACACACACACACACACTCACCGCTTGCAGAGCCTGGAGCCTTGGGGTGGGTGTGCGTGCCTGGGGGTTGAGGGGTGTGCCTGGAACCCGGGAAGGGGTGTTGCTGGGGAACTGTTGCTCCGGATCTCACGGCGGCAGCGGCGGCATCGCCGGGCAGTTCGCAGTACCCGCTCTCATCACCCTTAACTCCTCTCTGCCGCTAGGTTAGCAAATCACCACCGGCTGCGGCGCCTCCGCCGCGTCCCACGTCAACGCCGAGCCCCCTCCCCTGCGAGGCCCCGGCGCCTCTCCATCTTTAGTGCTGGCGGCCGAGCCCGGCTCGCTGCCCACAGCTGCCCCCTCCCCCCCCCCCGGCCGGCCCCGGCCCGCCCACCCCGCCCCCCCCCCGCCCGGGCAGAGCCCGTGCGCGCTCCTAGCCTAGCCCTCCCTTCGCAGGCGCTCCCCTCCCTTCCCAGCGCTCCGCGCTCCAGGCTTCTCCTGACATCTAGCTGCTGCCCCGGCACCGGCGGCTGCTGCTCGTGGCTAGGTGGAGAGGGCAAAAGGTTGCTAGGAAGAGGAGCCGCGGAGGTCCTAGCAACCCCCAAGGGGCCAGAAGGATGAGTGGGAAGAGCAGTCCCCGCTGGAGCCCCAAGTTTTTCATTTCCGCTGGGCACGTAGTGTATCACGCGTCCCAAACTCCGGTGCTCCTTAGCAGAGTTTTGTCCGATTTCTTTTATTTGCACCACTTCAGTGTGTGGCATCTAGCCTTTCACCTTTCCTCGGGACTCGGATCGCATCCTCCCTACCCTAAACATCGGTTTTTAAACGGGTCGCTTCCCTAGTCCCAAGCCAGGCCTTCCCCGCAGGGGTTAGCGGGATTTGGCCAGTCAAATCCAGAGCGGCCAGTGGAGACCTGGTAGGGGGCGGCACCTGGGTTTGGCTCTCTGGGTAATTGCAAGCTGAGAGGTCAAGGCCTGAGCAGTAAAACTTTCTTACTCCCAAACTCGGGCGTCCTCCCCACATCTTTCCCAGCCCCAGGAACCTGGGTGGAAAGTTCTGAAGAGCCTGCGCCTAGCTCTGCTCAGCCTCCCCGAGCGACTGTAAGTTCGGAAGAGCGCTGGGCCGCTCTACAGTACTTTTCCCCCTCTGCAGCTAGGCCACTTTAAAGGCCGGAGTTCAGACGACAAACCGTAGGGTAGCGAGACCAAGAAAAATAATGTCCTTCCTTCAGCTGCGAAAAGCTCCGTCTCCCGCTTTTCACACTGAGCTGGGCAGGGGGTTGGGAATGAAAGGTACTTTTCTGAGCTCTGGCCTCTGGCAAAAGCCCCAGCGCATTGTTGGGGGTGTGGTGGAGAGCGCCACCCAGGGGTCTCAGAAAAGTCACCCACACAGCCCCACCCTCAAATCATGAGGTCTTAGCAGTCCAGGCTTCAGTTAGGGGTGCTGTATCCTTGACTTACCAGTCAGGGGCCACGGATCTCCCACTGAACGCACAAAACCGAATCTTGATGCCTCAAGAGGTAAAGGAGGAGGAAGGTGGGCGGTGAACGGAGACAAAAGCCTACGAAGATCAGGTGGCAAAGCTTACACGCGGTCCCCAGGGGACTGCTACAGTGGTGGTCATAATGACTAGGCATTCCAGCGTAGTAAGTGACACTCAAGTTCCCCGACTAGCAGTGGGAGACAGAAGTCAGCAGACGAGAGCACTGGAAAGTGAAGAGAGAAAGCAGCCGTTGAGTTAACCTCTAATGGACAGCATCCCATGGATGAGGCCTGTAGTCAGTTAATACGCAATAAAAAAGCAACCCCGTATAAAGGCTGCCGGATTTTTCAAGTTAAGGCCAGCCCCCTCTAAGGCAAAGGGGATGTGAGGAAAGTTAAGAAGAAACTGCTTATAAAGAAAGCAAGAGTGAATGAGCCTAAGGGAGCAGGAAAGACACCCCCCACACACACCCGTGGATGTCTAGCCTGGGGAATGGAACCATTGCACTTGTTGAGTCCCTGCCTGAAGTGGGCTTGCTGTCTGGAGTCCACATCCACCTACCGGCCTCTCTCAAGCAGTCACCGGAGAGGCGCACAATTAACCTCTGATCCTATTCTCCCATTAATCCTCAAATCAGAGAAAGAGAATCTGTGGACACAATGGAAAAGAAAGAACAATTCTCCTGTCTGTCTCTGGCCTCCCCCTAACCCCCACCATATTCACTCTATGTGAAAATCTCCCTTGCTTCATAAACTCTGCCCATTAAAGAGCCCAGCCCTTGTTAGTAAGTGTTAAAGAGAGAGTAATGCCTGGATTTAAGAGGTGGGGAAGGTAACAGAAAGGGAGAAGGCAGGCAAAGCTGTGGGCTGAGTGCCAGCATTGGGCTCCAGAGCATTTCCACTTAGCGATGAAGGCTGGCTGAGCAGCAGTTTGATAAGGTTTATTGGGCCCAGATAAAGCAGCAGCAGCCCCCACTCTCAAACCGACACCATTTATAGCCAGAGCTGTGTCCTTGGATCCTGGAAGGCGATGAGACTCCGCAGTTGAGAGATTTCATATGGTAAGTCCTAAAACCAAGCAGAGTGGAAAAAAAAAATCACAGGAACAATTTCTCTCTCTCTCTCTCTCTCTCTCTCTCTCTCTCTGTCATTTAAGGTTTTTCTTTTTTCTTCAAAGATGTGGTAAGGGAAACTGGAAACTCAGCTCCTAAAAAGGCAAAAGGCCACTAGACTTGGCAGTACTTGCCTTTTATCCCAGCACTGTGGACCTTTTATCCTAGGTCGAACTCTGTGAGTCTGAGGCCAGCCCCAGACACCTTAGTGAGACCTTCCCTCAAAAACAGACACAAAACATAGAACCTTGATTTAAAGTTTTTCTTGACAAGATGCAAGAGGCCTCAGTCTTAATCTTGCTAGAAGCAGAGACAGAGATGAGCTAACCCTTGGGCAGCATTCCACTGAAAATCCCCTCATTCCTTCATCTCTTCTCCCTACGTAGCTCCCAGCCATGGAGCCTCTTCAGGCTAGGCTAGTGGAAGAGCATATCATCTGAGGGAAACATAGAGGAAGGAGATGGTGGCAGTAATAATTCATTCAGTGCTTCCCCTGTGAATCTTACCTGTCTTGTTTTAGTTAATCCTTCCAATGACCCTGTTGGCGTTCTACAACTGTCCACATGCAAGCTCAGGCTTGTAGACTGTTCGCGCCCAACATGATGCTTTGAATCACACAGTGTGACTGCAAAGCTCAAGCCTTTCATGCCTAGATTACCCAGCCTCTGCTGAGAGAAATCAAAGAAACAACCAGGGCTTTTAATTTCCTTTCTCTTTCTCTGTTCAGGATGGGGCTAGGTAAGCAGCTCACCAACATAAGAGACTCTTTGACTATCATATAAGGCTTCTTGCACTTTCTTCCCTTCCCCTGAAAGGGAGTTTTGAATGACAATAAAACATCTACTAGATACTCAAGTGCCTGAGTATTCTACTTGCATGTGAATGGAAAGTCTCAATTCTTCGGTGTATGTGTATGTGGGGGGGGAGGAATGCCATTTAACACCTAGAGTTCTTGATGAGCAGACATCAAGTCCTGGGTTTGATTCCCCTAAGTGTGTCCATCCTGTATTCCATAAGTGAATTGAGTGACACAACCTCATGAGACACACCTTCCAAAAATAAAAATAAAAAATAAAAAGGACTGGTATGTTCTGGTAGTTTAGGCTCAGAAAACCCAACCAGGTGATGGTTGCTTAGACGATAATTTCCATCATCCTTTTCCCACCACGAGGCACTGAACAGTGGAGACTGCAAATTTAGGCATCTCTTCTAGCTGCCAAGGACGCCTGGCATCTACTGGTTGGTTGAACCAGGGTCTCACTACATAAGCTCTATGGACCAACACACCTGGCTAGAGAACAACTTTTCAAAGAGGAACAAAGGAGGGAATTATTTTTTTATTTAGCCCCAGCATCCTGGGGTCACTGTGACCCCCAAGATCTCTATGACTGAGGACAAGAAAGTGTTTTCTTCCCTCTTTCTCTACCCAGCATATTGCAAATGGTTTTGGAACCTAATGTTGTCAACTCAAATAGCAAATCTGAGTTGTTATTAGTGCAAAGATGCCCTGAGGGGGTAGGCAGTGTGGATGAGATCTGAATGGGATGTTATGGTGAAGTGTGTTTATAATTATAATGGGATTTAATGTACACTGGGACCAGATGATGGCAGCCATTTAAAAAAAAGAGATGTTTAATAAGAGAGGTCCCTTAATGACAGGCAGCAAGGCTCAGGTTATTGTGGGACAGTGTAGCATTTCACTGGGTGTCACAAACTGTGTTCCAGGTTTATAAGGTTTCCAACAAAGCTTTGGGGTGAGATACGGCATCTTCCACTATCAGCTACAGGATGCAGTGTTTTATTCTTGCTGTTTGGGGAGGGGCTTATACACACACACACACACACACACACACACACACACACGTTTTCTTCCTTACACACAAACTCACGCAGGCCTCAGGCCAACACCGGATAGCTTTGGGTGTTTCTAGAAATCTGTTTTGTGCTGAAAAAGACAGCCTCAGTTTCAAAACCAAAATTTTGTAGCTACCGAGGGGTGCATTTTCCATATAGCATGCATGGAGGGAATCGGCATGACTCCCATTATGGGTAATGAGAGACCCACTGCTCAGTCCCCAGGCACCATGCTGAAAATTAACCCCCAAGTTCTCCTTGAGGAAATGGGGCCTTTAAAACAAACCAAATTCTGTTTCCTTGTTGGGAACCAGGGAAGAAGGGAAGCCGTCACATTTTTGAGGTGTCCAACTTTCACTAGGCAGCTATTTAACTCTCCAATTTATCCTTGCAGATTTTGATTCCAAGGCTGCTTTGGGGCCTGGAGAGATACCTCAGTGGTCAAGAGCCAGGGCTAGTTCCCCAGAAGACCTGGATTTCGTTTTCCCAGCCCTCACATGGCAGCTTGCAACTGCCTGTAACTCCAGTCCCAAGGGAACCAGCACCATATTCTTTGGCTTCCGTGGGTATCAGGCACACATATGGTGTACAGACACACATGCAGGCAAAACATTTACACACATAAAATTAAAATGAATACTTTTTTTTTTTTTAAGAAAGAAAGCATAATCTGGGTGTGTGGCACCTGCCTTTGATCCCAGCACTCCAGGGAGGCAGAGGCAAGAGGATCACTGTGAGTTCAAAGCCAGCCTGGTCTACAAATCAAGTCAGAACAGCCAAGGTGACACAGAAATAAACCCTGTCTCCAAAACAGAAAGAAAGGAAGGAGGAAAGAAAGAAAGAAAACAA